GTCCATAATGGCCATAATAATAAGAATAGATTAACTTATAGTTATGTTGTAGCCATTAAATTATTGAATAAAAAAGTTTCTTTCAAGAAAAATAAAAATCCTACAATAACAGTAACGGTTTGAAAAAGAAAGTTTAAATCAAAATGTTATTGATAACTGGGTTTATTGATAATAATTAAAAACTTTTGCCTAGTTTCACAGTTTATTTGTGACATAAAGTAAGGCTGACAGCTGTTTCGGCACTTACGCTATTGTCAAAAGTTCAGATTCACTGAATATATAAGCGGTATAATCAACAATGTATGCATATAAAATTGATAAGGTGATTATTGATAAATTATTTCTAGCGAACGGTAAAATGAATAATGTAAATATAAGAAGCATCAAATTATGCAAAAAATAAATTATAAAATGGAAACAAATAGATCACAATTTAGCTTACATTAAATGAATGTTAACCATATCAGTGTCTTTTTTATTCAAATACACAAATTTAAAAAATATGTTATCACAGCGAGCTATACAACAAACGTGTATGAAAATTTAATGAACAATAAGTTTAAGAGTCTTTATTTTGGTAATTTTATTAAGACTTGGTTAAGTTTACAAAAATTAATGGTGTTAAAGTATTATATATTCACATAAAAATTAGACAGTTAATTTTAATTAAGTACCAACTTTTTTCGAAAATTATCAACTATATTTCAGTCAACACAACTAACACAGTTAGCGAATTCACTTACAGATGATCTAATATGGAAAGATCATTTTTTACATAAAAAAAAGCATAAGCTTTTTCCAACAATTATACGTATTGCCAAAGCAAACATTTTTTCTTATCAAACCAAAATCAATTTCTGTTTAAAACAAGCGAATTTGTACTATTGTATTATTAGAAATAATTATTTTTATGATGATAAAAAAAAGGCACTCCTTGAAGAACTTGATAGCGAGATTTTGTGACCTACTACACTTGGACTCAATCTTTGCCAACCCTTAGTCGTCTTATCATCGCATTCATCCTATTCTTCCTTGCAGACACGATCTTATACCAGACAATAGCCTTAAAGCGACTGGCCATGTGCTCGAACGCCTCACGTCTTAAGCAAATCGCTCCGGAAGTAGAGCTTCGGAAAACTAGAAAAATCGGGCTACTGTGCTCGTCAGCCATGAGCTCCACCGTCAGACTTGGGCTGTTGTAGATTATTTTTGGTGTCTTCGAGGCGAAGCTCTGGATGATCGCCTCCTGCTGTGTCCTTAGCTCTGCCAGGCAATCTGTATTCAGCGTGATGGAACCAAGTCTGACAGAGAACTCCAGGAGACCATCACTGGTGACCTTGTCCTCACAGATGAACCAAACATCGTTATTCAGATGGGCTTTAAAGTATTTCTCGGGAACGTACTTTTTTTTTAAGTTATTCAACAGCACCAATTTTCGTAACGAAGACATTTTGGAAGAAGCTAACTTTGTGACTCGGCACTTGGGGGATAACTGATCGTCGATCTATAGATAAACTGTGGTTATTGAATGTTCAGAGCGATTTCTCCCGAGAAAGTTGGAAGGTATAATAATGTGTGTAACGCTTGTGCACGTCCTCCTAGATAATTGTTGAGGCTATGTTAGTTTTTCAGTTACGTAGCTAATCAGCTTCAAAGATAAGTACTTACTAGATAAGTGACGAACCGAAAGCTACGCCACATTTCATGTACGTATAATTACAGACGTTTCAATTTTTATTTATTTTTTATTACTGTTTTCCAAACTTTTTTCTATACATCTTGATAAAATGATGAATCTGAGATTTCTTACAAAAATCCTTAAGTATTTTATTCGTGCACATGTCTCAGATTAAATCTGTTTACTTGTATACCATATAGAGTTTTAGTTATAAATTATTTATTCAAAGTATCCAGTTTAAACACGCATAAATATTTTATTGTAAACTGATGCAAGTATTTCGTCATCGAATGCTTGAAGCTTATCACCTAAGCGTTTTAAAACTTAACGAGTTCACAGAGTATTTCTGTGACCCAACGAGTCAGACTTTAATTTTTATTTCACTCTTCATAGCAGTGCCTTAAAGTTTATTAAAATTTTCCAATATGAATTATGAGGTCGCTCATAAAAATATTGCAACATAGTATTATTCTTTTAAAATATGATAGGTTTTTAGGTAAATAATGCAGAAAAATAGAAAATCATTTAGAAAGAGTTTAAATATTATTTTGGTCCATAAAGTGCGTATTATAAGTCTTCGCGCCATAAACATCGCGTTTTTTGGCCTAAATAATAGTAATAGTACCTGTTATAAGTGATAAAAACTATGACAACATAATTATTTTTGGAATGAAGTTCCTTATGCCGGGTTCGGCGCGTAGAACTAGCCGAGAATGGTAGTTTTTGTACCTGCTGGAGCATGTTGCCAGGGCAAGCACCAGACATGAAGGTAGTTGCTCTGGTTAGATGTACATCAGGTTCAAACCCCATTTTTCCTACTGAGGGCGTACTAAACGTCTAAATGTTAAAAAAACGCCCAAAGTAAGAAAAAAATGTAACATTAAGAAAAAGCTTCACCACAAATCGTAAGAGAATAAGAGAATGAAGGAGACCGATTACGACTCTCTCTTATGCATATGCCTCTGCCCCTCCCCCCTCTTTCTGCGACGCTGTATGGACAGATAAGTTAATTCGACTTTGCTGCTTCGTTAATGAAATTTATAATTTTTAATGTACGACAATGAAAAAAAAAAAAAAAAAAAACCAATGGTGAAAATTGTTTACGTGACAAAATATTCTCATTGGTCATTAATAACAAGTTTTTAGTTAGAAAGAAACACTTTTATTTTTCTTAGCCATTTCTTCACGTAAGATTGATGAATGGGGGTACCTTCATTATATTTTTGTTACGGCAAAGTATGTAATCACTTACAAACCATCCAAGGTAAAACAAATTTTTAACTTTGTATAAGAGTAATTGGGTGATCCAAGTTAGTCACATAATGTGTATACATGTTTATGTGCGTCTACACGAAATCAAGTTTTTCGATTAATTCAAGAAGTTATGATCTAAATGAGCTCAAATTTTGTAGGTAGCTTTTATATGGAACATAATATCGAATTTTATGGCTTGCATTCGGACAGTTTTCATATGAGAGGAAGATGAAGCCAGTATATACTATAGTTAAGTACCACCTATAGAGCAATCATTCGGCAGGAAGTTTCAATAGCTGTATGGTAGAAGCGAGAAGGGTACGTTACAATCATACAAAACGAGCTGTTTTATTTTCAAGTTTTACACAAATACAAGGCATTATGAAGCATAAAAATGTGTATAACAGTAAAAATAGGCATTATAATTGCGTAATTAAAAGCATTTTCAAAATAAATTATTACTATAAATCTTGAATTATATGGGATAAACTGGTCGAGAAGAATGGAGTTAAATTCATGAGAGAAAAATAGAGGTCAGTTTTGCTCGTCCATCTCTCTTGTCCTCACAGACTGAAACATATACTGCCCAGCTAGTTTCTTACATATTAGTATAGCCCTGTAGATATGATGCAATGTGTACCACCAAAAACTACTATCCACTCCAGCAGTTGAAAAGTCAAAGTTCCAAACCATTCTCTATTCTGTCGCGAAGATACGGTAGATTGCTTAGCCTCACGACCGGAAGCAATGAAAAACATTTTTAATCATAAAATGTTAAAAATTATGATTTCTTACATAACTTGTTCGACGTTTATTTACTGCTTCATTTAAATAAAGTTTTTTCACGGTACAAATTTATTAGCGTTTGTTAGACCAGTGTCGTCTTAAACGTTACCAAACTGGATACACACAGCAAACAGCTATTAAAATACTATTAAAAATACCACACTAATCCGAATTTACTATAGATAGTACATTTCGACAAATATCATTAAAACACTGAAATTTTAGGCGTGTAGCAGTTAACAGTATCACTTTTTCTGTGCCAGCAGAAAGAATAATGGGTAGAATGACTTTACACCGAAACCCACGTCCATCAAACCAATAGACACCAATATTATTCATTCTGTGAAAATACTTCATGCTGCAAGGAACTCTATCCAACTCGTTAACATCTAGATAGTAAACGGTCAGTTTTGTGCCACATTAAGAATTTTTAAATTCTAACAATAAGTCTAAATATTATCTAAACAATAAGTTTTTTAAATAATTAATCCACTTCAAATCATAGCTCATACGTCACATAGACTTTTTCCATGAAAGTCATCATGTTTTAATCACGATGCCTACTTATAACATTGGTTAGTGAAGCAAAATATTTATCTTAATTCTTCATACAAATTTCTCAATAACTGTATTAATTCTATACTGGGGACGATCAGGAAAAAAATTTTATTCTACTTTAAAAATCAGATCTGATTAAAATACTTAAAACAAAGTCAATACATGTAATTAAAAAAAATCGTCTGATGAAATAACCACAATTCATTGGTTTCTTTGCTGATGTCAGCATTTCGAGTACGTCTTTGGTATAAATATGCAAGTTAATGTCACCACCTTTACCACTAGAGTGGCCAAGTTAACCCATGTATTTGCTATGTGATTATATTAATTTATTTATACACTACACGTAATTAAGTTTTTTAACTATATATGTGAATGTAATGAAGAAGTTCAAGTAACATGACGTTTTGATAGTCACTTTTTCATATTTATTGAGCTTCTAAATAGTACGTAAGTCCACAACAACTTTATTTTAGGTATATTATTATTGCTCTGTCAAGTGAAGGCCTTGATTAAGTACAATAACTACAGTAGGGTATCGCAGTCCTAGTTAAAAAAAATTAATTATACATACTTGGACTTAAATACTCAAATCATATTATCACTACACATACTCGGAAAAAACATTCAAACAGTTTTTAATTCGCAATAAAGTACATAAAATTTCGTTGACGATAATAGATTTCATAGTAAATTTGTTTTTAGTTCTGTGTTATTATCAACAATGTTCAGAAGTGGTATACCGGATTTTAACAACGAAGATGGAGCTGGTGGATCTTCCTCGAATAATCTCTACTGTTGCACTGTTTGTAAAAGAACTTTTCCTAATTCCAGCCAACTCATTCGCCACACACGTATCCACACTGGTAAGATGCTTTATAAATGCACTGTTTGCTTACTAAACTTAAAAAAAAAAAAAATCATTTTACAGGATGTATGCAGATTCATTCCAGCGAAAGACCTTACCCCTGCAACAAGTGTCCACAAGCCTTCAGCCAAAACTGTACTCTCATAGCTCATATGCGCACTCACTCTGGCGAAAGACCTTACCACTGCAACGTGTGTTCACGATCCTTCAGCCAAAAATTTACTCTCATAGCTCATATGCGCACTCACTTTGGCGAAAGACCTTACCACTGCAACGTGTGTTCACGATCCTTCAGCCAAAATTCTACTCTCACAACTCACATGCACATTCACTCTGGCGAAAGACCTTACCACTGCAACGTGTGTTCACGATCCTTCAGCCAAAAATTTACTCTCATAGCTCATATGCGCACTCACTCTGGCGAAAGACTTTACCACTGCAACGTGTGTTCACGATCCTTCAGCCAAAATTCTACTCTCACAACTCACATGCGCACTCACTCTGGCGAAAGATTACCACTGCAACGTGTGTTCACGATCCTTCAGCCAAAATTCTACTCTCACAACTCACATGCGCACTCACTCTGGCGAAAGACCTTACCACTGCAACGAGTGTTTACGAGCGTTCAGTAAAAAATATAATCTCACAACTCACATGCGCATTCACGCTGGCGAAAGACCTTACCAATGCCACGAGTGTCAACAAGCCTTCAAAAATAAATGTAGTCTCACAGTTCACATGCACACACACTTCGGCGAGAGACCTTACCGCTGTAACTTGTGTCCACAAGCCTTCAGACAAAAATGTCATCTCACAGCTCATATGCGCACTCACTCTGGCGAAAGACCTTACCACTGCAACGTGTGTTCTGAAACCTTCCGTACAAGTAGTTATCTCTCTAAACATAAGAAAATTCCACACACACATCGCTGCAACGTGTGTTTACAATCTTTTGCACGAATCAAGAATCTTGAAAGTCACATGCGCAACCCGCATATATTTCACTGCGATGTTTGCCAAAAATATTTTGCTACTCCATCTTATCTGAAGATGCATAATGTGTATATCCATAATAAGTTCTAAATGTAGAATACATTGGCATTATAATATTTTGTAACAATAATTCAGTACATCAGTTAAAATAAATACATTTTGAAGTAATGATAAAGAATGAGATACGCGGACGAAAAAATAATCTGTATATTGGTAATCTATATAATCTGTACACTTATAACCAGTTCTAAATGTAGAATGCATTGACATTACAATATTTTATCACAATAATACAGTACATTGGTAAAAATAAGGATATTTTCAAGTTTGATAAACAATGAGAGTTATGTGGATGAAAAAATAAATTATCTACATACATTTCCTTAACGTAAATATTTTTTATAGTTGAATATAAAGTCTAGTTGATTGTTTATAATTCTTACAACAATGCCTCTGTGATAAAACGTTTTGTAACTCACTATCTGAGTTTACATGCATAAAAATTGCTTTGTTATCGGAAAGATCTGAAAATTCTGGAGGTTTGCAACTTATAGTTATTATATTTTTTATTTGAATAATTTTTCTAAATTTTCGTGTATCGCAATCTCATGACAATCTCAATGTTAATCTATTTTGTTTTCACTAGAGAGTTGTATTCATTTGTACATGCATATTATCATATTTAATTAGATTTCGATGATAGGGATATGTCACCTTTTTTTATGGTCATATTCTTTTCCCACAAATTTGAGAAATATTTAAAAAAGAGCTATGTCTCGTTCTCGTAAGAGATGACCTAGAAGCACGTGGTATTCATACTTTTACGATTTCTTTTAATGTAAAAACTGTTGAAAATTAATTTCTTATCATTTTTAATCAAGTGCATTCAATCATCATTAAATTATTAAAAATAAATATAAATCAATTAGTAGAAGCAGTTCCCTGCCCAATAAATTTTTATGAAACTATCGTTAACGTTTCAATTTCATTGCGAGATCCGCTTGAGGACGCTATAAAAAAATAAAATGAACTGTACTAAAAATCCAATGCTTTTTATTTGTACAATAATAACAATACATCTCTTGTACATTAAGATACTTTTACTATGTAATTCATGTACAATATCATATATTAGAACATCAATTTTCACTTGAACAGTTGTGCAGTGAGAAGACGATGAAAACGGCTCGCATGTACATATAACTATACATGCAAGGTATCAACTATAAAGGAACCAATAGACAGAACCACTTGTAAATGTAAATTTTAAATTTTGAAATAAAACAAAAGGGGAACAAGAATTATAATGAATATCTTAATTAAACCATGAAAAATCGATTGAAATGTTAGTCGTTTGCCTGAAGTTTAAATTTCAAGTGACCGTAACTTTTAAAATAATTGAAATTTTGTACTTTTTCAGAGCTTCAATAAAAAAATTGTTTTAAGCTGTTTCAAATACTTTTATAGAATTGCTTTAACTATGATGTAAAAAAATTCTTGTGTAAAAGAGTATGTGGCATGCTTCATCTGATTTTTTTTTTTTTTTTACTAATTTCATAGAAAAAGCTAAAAAAACTTTGTCGCCCTGAATTCTATACGTAATCATGAATTTTACCATACTCCTAGATGTACGCAGAAGAAAATAATGTAAGATCTATAGGTGTAATTTTTTCAACTGAGCTTTCTAATTATTAGGAATAAAATGTATAGCGTCGCATTAAGTTCTTATCGTTCCTTACAGTTAAGACATAATCCTCTTCTCTTAATACTTTTTCAAGTATCATTTTAATTTTAATGCAAGATGTTATACAACCACAGTATAATTACATTATCAGGAAAGCACAGAATAGGTGATTAAATGTTTTCAATAGAATTTCTTCCACAATAAAATATATTAAAATGTAGATAACTATTGCATTATCATTATAATAAAGTAACACAATTTAATCCTTGTTTTTAATTTAAGAAAAAAAATTGTGTCCATAGTAAATGAATCTTGAGAATAATGTTTTTATCAACAATAGTATGGTGGTAATTGAATAAAGATAGAACTATTGATAGAATTTTTTAAATCATTTGGTCCACATATGTTGTAGTGAATTTTACAGTGAAAAAGGCAGCAAAAAATATCAAAAAATTTTAGTGAAAAAAATTCTGTTAATGGTTTTACTCAATGTAAGTTTTTAAATAGATCAAAAAATATTTTATCAAATTATTTCCTCGAATCGTCAGAAATTCTATGTCATCAAACTAGAAAATCACAATGCAGCATGAAAGAACGTGTTTATTTAATTTTCATTGATTGTTTCTAATTAGGTTGCAATAGGAGTAGATGAAGCACTTGTTAAGTATTCATTTTGTAAAAAAATTGCCGAAACAAGACTGATATATCAAAAAATCTTTTTGCAGAAAACGCTTTGTTTATCCCGAAAAGCGCTCTAATTACCCTGGAATTTATATTTTTTTCGATGGATAATTATTACATCAATAATGCTACAATAATACAATTTCTTGAAGCTTATGACCTACTAGCAGCCCCCCGTCTCGACTTCGCCCGAGAATTACTAAATAAAACACCGTAGTGTGTTGACATGTAATGTGAAACATTTTTAGTTAGAAATTTTGTACATATTCCTGACACATCTCAGAACAAAAATCTTCTTATTAAAAACATATTTGTTAACAATCCATAAAGTTTATTTGGTCAAATAATAAGCTGTAAAAGTTAAAAAAAATATAATCATGCTGAAAAGTACCGTGCGTTCCTTATGCCATAAAATAATCGGTGGCCATAAGAAGCCGTTGATTTACAGTTTCTCCCGTTTAATTCACGAAAAGGGCTATTTTTAAAAGCTGTTAAGATTTTAAACCCCCAAAAAATTTATGTTAAAAAAAAATTTTTTTCTCATATCTCACAACTTTATTACCAGAGCAACAAAGTCCTGGACCTTGAACCCTACATTTTTATTGCCACAAAAACACAAATACATTTTCTACTTATTTAAAAATCTGAAGTAGGATCTTTAAAGATTTCAGAGATTGCTGTGAGGGTACAATGAAAAGCTGATCTCTCACGTAATGGACTCTTTAGTTGTCGATTTTGACGCTGCTGTTTCAATCTCGATAAATTTTCTGCGTCAGTTTCTTGACGCCTAAGTAAAATTGTATTTATTAGATACACTTTAAGTTTTTCTTCCAATTCACCCTCTTGCGACTTTTGGCATGCTTAAAATTTTTGTGACCCCTAAAAGCTGTTTTCTGTCAACTTTGTTAAGTTCTAATATATTTGTTGGCAAGGTAGTTCGATGTCCGATGGTCCTACAAAAGACCGGTGAGCTTCTTAAGTTAACTCTTTCTTGACTGCATTTAACAGCAATTGTGACTGCCTGGATACCTCAGGGTGATGTTCTCTGGCTTGCTGTTGAAGACCTAGACTGATTGGGAGAAAAATTACAAAGTCTGAAGCTTTGGGGCTAGTTGTAGTGCTCTTTCCCAACGTCTCCTGGTATAACGTCGAAGACGTTGGTGTCTAAAGCACCTCTTTTTTTTGCTGATTCAGTTCATTTTGGTGATCTTAGATGGGGAGATTGGTTAGTGATACTTGTCCAGTGGAGGCTGTCTCATTGGCTCAAGTTTTTTTTCCTTCATAACTGTTATAGGTTTGCCCAGCGCAGACTTTGGAGAGGATCAGTGATTTCTGATTAAATGCTTAGAGTCGAGAGGGTAATATAGGGTCGTTCGTCACCGGGTTTTCAGCCTTGCGAAGAATAACTCCGCAGGTGACGTCCGCCAGAGAATAGCTGACTTGGTTTCATAGTGCCCGTCTTTAGTTAATATAGTCTTTTAGTCGACGAATCGCTTCCGGAAATGGTAATAAAAATGTATTTGTTGGCAAGGTAGTTTACACTTAGGTGGATCCTAAAAAGAACCGATGAAATTGATGGTTAAGTAGGGAACGTAAATACTCATAATGGCCCTAAAAAGCGCCAGTGGTGAAACTTCCAGGCTATTCTTTCTTATTATTCCTGATGATGAAGAGCTGGCTACGGGTTGCTTGATTTTTACCCTGGGAGTCTCGATGTACGGAGACTGTGATGGAAGGAGGTACGCCGCTGACCAAAGAATATCTCGTCTCGGGTCGTTCCCCGGATAACCAACCGCTCATCGTTAGATGCAAACATGAGGGTAAGCACGTTGGGGACGCGACGACCAAGAAGGTAGCCGTTGTGGCTCCCCGTGCCCCTCAGAGCTGTTTTTCCTGGCTCACATTTGTGGCCACAAATTCTCTAACTGCACCAGGTGGGACTACCACACAACTCTGAGGAGTTGGAGCAGATTGTGCTCTGGCTAGATATGTCTCCTGGTATTGTGGCAGAGACGGTATCGGATGGTATAATTTTTTTTTTTTTTGATCGCACTCGTCGAGATTCAGGGTGAATGGACACCCAGGTCCCTTCCCCCTTGGATAAGACTGTCGTCCGTGACCGGGATACCCAGCTGCAAGACTGTCATCAGCATTCTCTATACAGCTCGTTGTACTGCCGAAGTTCGACTACATCACTGTAGAGACGGTCCGGCCTATTATAACCACACTTATATAATTATGTTGCAGGTAGCTTCAAATTTATGTTGACGCCACCTAGCGGATTTTGCTAAACTAAAGTGAAAATCTGGCGTATTTTTGCAAAACTTTGAGCTTATTTATTGCTAATGTTATTGAATTTTTTAAGATAAAAACTATACTAAAACCATCTAGGAAGTATCATGAATCAGTGGGCAAAATTTTAGCAAAATCGGTTCAGTAATTTTCGCGGTTAACGATTACAACGGTTTTAGCGTTCTTGCTTTATATATTAGTAAAATTAGATAGATTTAATTACGCATAAAACTTTTCATACATCATTTTTAATTTCATGCATTTTTAATAAACTAAAGTAGGAAGAAAAACAATTTTTTTGGTTGGATATTTAAAGTTTGTTTAAGAGATCTTGATTGGAAAAAACACAGCTTTATTCAGCTTTGTTTTTTTTCTAAAATTAAAGGTTAGCTTGGACTCTACACTTCCATCTTTAATTTTTTTCTCTTTAAAATAACAACAACTCTTTATTAACCCCAGTACCCTGTGAACCTTAGCCTCCACTACTTGTGTCGATCTATTAAGCTAGTCTTGGCCTAAGAAAATGAAACTAAATCGATTGTCTTTTAATTCATTGTTTGAGCACTAAATATTAAGTAATAACATAGGCAATGAGATAAAATTGTATAATCTGAAAGTAATTATCAGTTTTTCCTCCATCTAAAAGAGTTATTACAAACTATCTTACAATATTTATATCCTTTTCCCAATAGGTGCCAGCTTCACATTTTTCAAAATCAAATTATCCTCCACCTTTGCGCTTATGACGTAGGATGAAAACAAAAATATCTAGTAAAAACTTCTCTTCTCTCAAAATTACATCCATTTGAAGTATACCTAGTGATTAGCATAACGCTCAAATTCGTCCTTAGTGACTCCAGATGTATTATTTTAATGTATTATTCTTATGTCATGCAAATCGCAAACTATTATACGTAACCACGCACACACAGTTCTTGTGCTTTGAATATTGATGTGGCCCACATTACGGGGGTGGTGATAAATTAAAATTCAGTCCACGTGGTTTTTATACCACGCGAGGATAGAAAAGTTTTCCAGCCGCAAAGGAACGCGCGAAACAAGCTATCCACCACACAATAACACAACTCGCGCCAGTCTCCATATAACTCCGTTCCGCTTGCGCGAGAAAAGCTCGCCTCAAGCTTTTTAATTTAAAAAATTAACATGTTAATCATTACTCCGGGCACTGGATACTTTTGCTCTCTGCACTGTGTACCTCGAAATTTCCCTACTATAACCACTCTTATTAGAAAAAAGGTACAATGGAATTACTATTATCGTTGCGTGCATTTACAAATACCAGCGGAATGAGAATTCACGCAGGGAAAGCTCGTCGAGACGAAGCTTCTGGCCGAGCACGGCGACATACTGCAAACAATAAGCAAGGCCAGAACAACCTTTACTAAGGAGTTGCATTGTCGAGAGTGTGCTAATTACTCGGTGGGCTCTACTCCAGGCTTAGGTCACATGTTGGTTGGATGTGAAGATTTAATGAAATGCGTGGGAGACGGGCCAGGATGAGCCGAGTGGACGTCGCGTTGGTGAGGAACTCTGTTGGCTCTTTTTTGATATCTCGTTTGTTAAAGTGTGAGGCTTTTTCGCACTGGCCGTACTTTCGTTGGTTTTAAACTGCATGATTGAGATTACGTTTTTTTGCTGCCTTAATAAAATGCTTTGTTCTACTAAAAAGTAAAGTTGTCTTAAAAACATGCTATGTACAATTTTCATGCTGTAAGCAATCAAAATGCGTCCTCGAATACGTCATATTTAGAGTGTGGCGTTTATGTGTGTTATCATTTATATCTTAGGAATCGATTCACCAATTGTAGGTAATCATACAGGGTCTCAAAGTTTCTGTCTTTGCATCGTTTCGAGGGATCTCAAATACGTTATTGAGGTAGTAACAATATTTTCAATTTTCAATTTTATTTTCTCAATTATCGATTTTGGATTTGAATAATAACTTGAATAGTAGCTATTGATTTCACTTTTTTGCGATGCCAAAATTTGGTGTTTATATATAATAGTGAAAGTTGAGGATTGATTACTCATAATTGAATTGACTGAGAAATCATGCAGAAATTATATCTTGATACTCCAAGATATCTGATGTGTGTGTAGTACTGGGTGCAGATTCCCTATATCTGTTGTTAAGGTGTCCAAGATAGAAGACCCTTCGAGAAATCACAAGTATGAAGTGTCACGTCGTACGTCGTCTTTTGATTTCCTCCTTCTCAATCCTCGGAGCCTCAGCAAACGGCTGGTCCGAACACTCCGATAGTCTACAGCTGAAACTAAGCAAAGCTTAATGTATACTTAATTATCGACACTCACCGGTGATAGGAGGGAGATAGAGGCTTCATGAATGCGTAGCTGAGGCATCGTTGGTTTCTAAAATACACGCATTGAACTAACCGACGCAGTGGTGCGGCGACAGGGTCGCAGTTCCATCAATCAGTGGAGTTAAGCAGCATAGGCCGCGATGAGCACTTGGACGGGTGGCCGTTCTAGGGTACCATCGTTTCGTCTGTACTCTTAACTTCAAGGGTCGATTAACTGTCTCTCTGTGGCCGTGGGACATTGCGATCGGGAGGTGAACAGGAGTTGGTCCTGGTGTCTATACGTAGACATCTAGTCGTAGCTCCTGTTCACCTTTTGTTTTTTTTTTTGTTTTTTTTTTTTTTGTTTTTTTNGGAGTTAGTCCTGGTGTCTATATGTAGACATCTAGTCGTAGCTCTCCTGTTCACCTTTTGTTTTTTTTTGTTGTTTTCTTTTAATTTTTTTTTTTTTGTTCCTTTTTTTAAGAAATCGTTTGTCAATTGTTGTGATTCTTACAAATATCAAGTAGAACTCTAAACACACAAATCAATAGTCAAAAAGTACATATTTATTACCACGTATGGTACAACTAGTTGTAAGAAGAAAAAAAGGTGTGATGTTAGCTGTGGTTAGTTACATCATGGTACACAGCCTTTTTTTTATCAAGAAAAACAGTCCTTGTTCCCCGACTGTTGTAGGATTTGCGGAAAAACTTTACCCTGACTCGATAAGGTATATGCACGTTGACACTTTTTAAAATAATTTTATATAATAGTATTTCCCTTATGTACAAAATCTTTCATACATATTAATTTCTTTTGGGTTTTTAAATTTTGTAAAATTCATAAGCTTAAGTTCTTTTTCGTTTCTACAATTTATACACTACATCAAATACTTGAAAAAAATTTCAACAAGTATTGGCGGTGTATCTCAGATGCTTTTTCCTTTGAAATTAAAAAATACAATGGAATGAAAAAAAAAAATGAAACAAAAAAGGGAATGAAAAAAAAGAAGTAATAAAAAAAAAAAAAAAATTAAAAGAAACAAACCAGGGGGTATAAATGGGTCATGGGACCCACGGTAAGAACGAAGTTCTTTAAACATGACATGAGTATAAAGACACACAATTTCTCAGGTAACAAGGGGGTCGCCAGACCCATAAGAAGAACGAAGCTCTGTAAACGTTAGTACTGCATTCATGTTGTTTACTAAAACAAAAACTTGGAAAACGAATAAAAAAAAATAAGAAAATTTAGTTCTGTACTCACGATACTTAGTTGAACTTTGTGAGTACGTCATGCATAAATACATTACTCAGGAAGTTCAACTATCGTGAGTACTAAACTAAATTTTCTTACTTTTTTTTATTCGTTTTTCAAGTTTTTGTTTCAGTGAACTACATGAATGCGGTACTTATTTTTATAGAGCTTCGTTCTTCCTATGGGTCCGGCAACCCCCTTGTTACCTGAGAAATTGTGTCACTTTATACTTATGTCATGTTTAAAGAACTTTGATCTTTGATCTTACCGTGGGTCCCAAGCTTCTGGCCGAGCACGGCGACATACTGCAAACAATAAGCAAGGCCAGAACAACCTTTACTAAGGAGTTGCATTGTCGAGAGTGTGCTAATTACTCGGTGGGCTCTACTCCAGGCTTAGGTCACATGTTGGTTGGATGTGAAGATTTAATGAAATGCGTGGGAGACGGGCCAGGATGAGCCGAGTGGACGTCGCGTTGGTGAGGAACTCTGTNTTCTGCGTCAAGTGCTTCTTGTGCATGTAACACCATATTAGACTCTGTTCGCAATGAGACTGGTACGTCTAAGTTTACGTATTTAATGCTACGCCCTCTGCCTTGTTTCACATTCAAACCAGGGTGTAAACACCAACTGCAACCGAAGTAACCGTTGTACTGTTTAATCCCTTGCATTGGCGCACGTGCTTGAGAATCAACGCAGCAGCATATGGCATAGACTTTTAAACGACGTTGTTGACCGTTAATTGTACATTTGATTCCTACTTCGGCTAATGTGTTCATTTGTTCAACAAATGGTTTTAAAAATATATACATATCTGGCTTTCCCTTACGGAACCATATTCCACAAACAACAGGTTTTTTTATTCTTTCATCATATGGTATTTCATTTATAATCAGTTGAATTGGCCAAAGAGAAAAATTTGAACTAACAAAAACAGGAGAGCCATCACTATTTATAACAGCCGAAACAAAGTTTTTCTTTTCGTCGTCTGATAGTTGACTTAAAATCTTTTTGTACATCAAACCGTCTGTAAAATCTCTCATTAATTCATTGTCATTATTTTGAATATTATTTAAATTTTCAAAATATTCGCCATTTTGCTGAATCAAACTTGCTATTTCCTTTTTCACATCATATATTACAAAATAATCGGTGTACGTTGGCTCTTTTAAATTAATTGAAGTTTCACACGACTGACATACGACTCGCCTTTGAAATTCATCAAACTTTGCAATGTATTTACCACATTTGGGACATACTGCACGAAATTGAACATTGTCGTTTTTATTGAATAATTTATTTACAACAGTAATTATTAGCATTACTGTAATGCCAAAAAAACATCAGGTCGAAAAAAATTCGGTCGGTATTTTATGCATCAAATGAGCGAAAAAATCAGAATTTGAAACCATGCGATATCGATGGTTGTCATTCCTATTTATAAGTTATACTTTTAGGGCAATATTGTAAGCAACCAAGCTTACTGCCAAGTGAACCAATCTAATCCAATAAACTAATAACACAAAAAAATAGTTATTTTTTTGTATCTTGTTTTTCCTTAACGTGATCTATAAATCCCTATGAAATTTACCTTCTAACAAAAATAAAAGTTCAGGTAAGTTATACATGCTCTCTTTTTACTTTTTTTTTGCGCTCGTAAGTTATGAAAACCAAATTAAGTAATATTAACTTTTGACTTGTACTAAATACAAACTTTATGTTAAATAGATTTAAAAAATGCCCTAAGGTCTTTATATCCTCACGCCATGTCAAGGCCTTAACGTATGTGATCAGATTTGCATTTACAAAAAGTCAAGAGTCAATATTACTATGTTTAATTTTTGTAGTTAATAGATACAAAAGAGAATGATACTACAAATGTCATACACAATGTACGATGTGCTATAAAAATCAAACAAAGCGTAAACGTTTTTAGATTTTAATTTTATAATTTTGCAAGACTTATGATTTATAAGCAAGAATAATTTAAATTGAATATTAGAGGATGTAAGTGAAATAAAATATTTTTTAAAATAACTATATTATTTTCTATTATTTTACCATTGTCGATATGTACATATAAATATTCTCATCAATCATCCAACTTAAAAATATTTTAGTGCAATGGATAGTTTTTGCAATACCAACTAGAACAAAAAATTAATTTTACTTGTAAAATAGAAATTACAATTGGTATTTAACTCTAATCACACCATAAAAATAAGTTGCATTACTAAGATTGTAAGTAGAGTCTAAGAAATTATCTGGTTTTTACTTACAAGCCAGTATCATAATTAACCGAACTCAAAAAATATCCTTCTTGCTCAAGTTGTGCCTTTTTAATAGTTTTCTTATGAGATAATGTATTGAATCTTTTTTAAATTGAAAATCTCGAGGCAAACATGTCTTAACTTATTTATTCGTTGGAAAATAAGTGACGATGCAAGAAAAAATTTTATTGTTCAGCGGATGCTTGTACAGCAGGTGCATTTTTCTGCCCAATGACGCGCAAACGAATGCTCGTTTCAGTGAGGATTGACTGCGAGACGGTCGATCGATTCTTTCACTTGGATGGCGTTTTTCGCCTTCATGGAGAAGTCAGACTCGAAGCCTTTCTGAAGTTTTATTAACATAGTCAAGCATATTTTTTTCTCGTTACAATGTAAATTTTTGAATCATTGAACAATATCTTTGTTGAATAATTATAATTTCTTGTTTTTTTCAACTTGGTTGATTAATTGCAGAAATTTCTGTATATCGCTTCACTAAAGTGCTTTTCTTTTATCTAGAATAATAAAAGTTTTGCAACTCCTAGATTAACCTTTTTCAAAGTTTTTTATTTGTTTGGATACTTGGAAGAAAAAAAATTAGAAACTATCGTTGACATCGAGTCTAATTTAACTTCATGTTTTAATACAATAATACACAATGTTTTAATACCATAAAGCCTCAATCTGGTTGCAGTTAGTCAGCATGTTTTTTTTCATATGGAATTTAAACGTAAACCTTTCATACTACTGATTAAAAAATCAATCCATCATATCAGCTAAGCCGTAAAAATGTTACACATGACTTTTCAAATAATTATATTGAAAAACTGTTATTTTTTTTTCTCGCCACTCGATAAGACTCTCCTATACGGCTCATCACTTTGTGGTTTCCCTTACAGGAGTTGTTGCATATTTATTCCAGGAAAGCGGAGTACAGTCCGTGATTTCTTATCTCCTCTCCACCGGCGCTTGTCTCATCTGATCTCCACTGATCTCCAATCGGAAATCCCGGAAAAGCTTGTGGAAGTCTTTGGCACGTTCTACTTTCTAGCTAATGGTGGATTGCACATTGTGGGTAGCTCATTTGGCGTTACTTACCACGTCCTTGCAACAAATAAATGTGAAAGATACATAATATAAGGGCAAAATGGTTTCGTTTAATTAACGAGTCCATGGGGACATGGAGAGCTACATTTGGTATCTGTTGTAGCTCAACACTCACCAGCAGATGTAAACTTTGATTGCCACCCACTACACAGCACTTCAGAGAATCAAGTGGGGAATAAATTGCTGAGAAACGTGTGGCTGTAGAAATTAATTCAGTTTGTTTGCAGAGATTGTTCGAACCTTCTGTGTGGCTGGTGTGCTTCACTTTAATTTTATGGTTGAACTTTTTAAAACTTTGTTTCTGATTTTGTAGGGATATTAATTTTAAAGAAAATTAGTAAAATAAGGCTTTTTTCTTTACTTATCATAATACATTACTATTTTAATTATCCATGCGTTAATTATAGTTTTTTTCTCGTTTTTGACATCAAAAAATAGAAAACAATAGCAAAAAATTATTATTTAACGAGGACAGCTTGTGAAAATTTCTTGGACTGAATTTCCTAGCGAAAAAATGAGTCATGAACAATCGTAATATCTTTATGATATACAGTTTTAAGGCTTTTAGCTTCATTGAGTTCGAAACAACGCTTCGAGTACGGTTTGGTGACAGCTTCGTTAAACTAAATTTCAAGTAAATTACCAAGTGTTTTATCGTAATAGAAAATTTAAAATAGGTCCGCACTTACCCAGTAATGTGGAGAAAGGATTGTCTATTCACACACGGAGAAAAAAAGTTGCGTGAGTTGTTACCGTAAAAGCAACGGTAAAGTTGCGATAGAAAAGTCTTCACTATAATTTTTACCACAGATTAACTTTAGTTTTTTTCTGGCCCAAAAATTCATCTTAATTAAATAAACTTTAAATTCACTGTCCTCATTGTAATATAAAATTCAAACTACTACAATTGATGAAGAGGAAAAAGGTAGGTTAAAGTTACCAGGAAAAACGCGATGGAGATTCCATCTTACAAGCTCGAAAAAGTTGTATAATAATCGTTTCAATTTGAATAAGTCAGCAGCATCAAGAAAAGCTGATAAATTGAAGAACATATGACACATATGGTAAAGACGAAGTGTTTTGATAACCATATTGATAAGAACATCCCTTAAAGTGATCCGGATAAGGGGCACAGTGGTATGTAGAATCTACACATTTATAGAAATTCAAGTACAAACATTTTTGTGATGATTATTAAAAGTTTGTTTTTATGCATAACTAGTGTGAGATAAGTTAAGTAAATTTTTTTTTTATCTTCGAAATTTGATACCATGCTAAATTAGCAGTATTTAAAAATAAGCAGTATTTATTTATTTATTTTTTTTTTCATTCATCATCGCCCGTAGGCTCAGACATGGCATTTTTTACACAAGCATAGTGTTAATTAGCCACCGGTGCACCTGAGTTATGACCAGATGTTTATATACATATACATACATAAACATCTGGACCAACTCAGTCACACCTATGATCACGTAGACGAAGCGTCAGAGAAACAGTTAATCGACCTTCGAGAATCAAGAAATGATTACACTACTGATAAAACAAAAAAACTGATACTTGAAGTAATGCAAGAAACAAAATTTTTTTTGTACATATCATTACTAATCATTAAAGAATTGTTACAATATGTATACTTCCAACTTTACATTGAAATAAGCCGATGACGGTCATATGGTGGTCACAAATTACGTCATGTCACAATTATTTTTATGACGCGTCGTTTTGTATTTCTAGAAAAGGCGTTTTGAAACTTAAAATTGCATATTAAAATGATATAACAACGACTGTATGTTCCCTTAAAATGAACAAAATTTAATTCAACTTTTTTTTTGAAAGGTACTTCATAATTTAATTTACGCTATTATTTATTTATAATATAGAAATACACGCCATCCGTATGATTTAAAAGCTCTATAATTACTATTTATGCATAGAAAAAGTAGAGTAAACAAAAGCTATTTTATTATTATTTAAAAGTCAGCCATTTAACTTCTTATTGTTCGTTTATCACGTTGTTTAGTACATACTAAAAAAGAAACTTTCAGAGTAATTTTATGCCTAAACGTAACTTAAGCTTGAAAAAAAGAAAAGTAATCATTTTTTTTTTTTTTAACTGCTACAGTTAGCAAATTAGGGGTAAACACACCTTAAGGTAGTGATTGACCCCTGTATAATTTGTATACCTATATGTAAAGACTCCATTTAAAAATGCATGTGGCAGTCAATCACTATTGGGGGGTCAACAACTGTACCCTTTACCCCTACATTGCATGAAAAAATTGAACAAGTGAAATTACTACTTTCAAGCCATTAAATGTGTTGGACTTCAGCAAAACAGCCTTATCCTGAACGTCATAACCTGATATCACGTGCATAGTGAAAAAACCATTATAATACTATTAAATATGTGCCTCACGTCTTAACGATTGGTAAGTATATATTTTTATATCACACTAAGCGTAAAGTTCGTACTGTTCTCCCTGTATACAGGGACAGAAACTGTGTAATAAGTGCGTGTACGCATGCGTATCTATATCTTACTGTATATTACTATATACATAAACCAATAAGTGCCTGAAGTAGTTCGGTGCTCGAACATAGCGAGGGTGCCACACTGCAGTAAACAAACAAATTTGGGAAATATCAACAAGATAAAAGAAGCCAATGTACTGTTTGCTGGTGTATTTTATACAAAAAAAAACATGAGATTCTGAACAAATGGAAATAATTAGAATTGTTATACAATTTTCTTTGTTCACACATTTTTAAATAATAACTGCATTTTTACAGTTCTTCATTTTTATCAATCTTGTATAATAAACTATTGAAATTATTACATTTCGAAACACATACATTAAAAGAGTTAAATAATTAGGTCCTTGTTTTTATGCTTCCATTGTAAGAATCGAGCGTATGCATATTCATATAATGCTCTCGATTTTATGGGAAGTAAATTTTGAACAATGGCATTTCGTTCACAGTCAAAGTCTCTTCCTTCCCCTACTTTATCCTCGTCAAATTTTCTTCGTCAGAAGAATCCTCTTCAAACATGACTGTCGAAACTGTTGCCATATTTTATACAAAAATACAGGAATGTCCTAAATATCACAATCGGAAACAATTATAAAAACTCTTGTGATATAACCTATAACCACAGAATGAATGGCTTGTTTTCCTTCTACCTCTCTCCCTCTCAATGCAACGAACTTTCCACTGAGTGTGATATAAAAGTGTATACGCACCGCGAGACTAAAGCAAGCCAGCGAGTGGCTATTGCTTGTAGCGCCCTCGCTACGCTCGGGCGCACACTGCAACAGCCACGAACTGGCTTGCTTTAGTCCCTTGGTACGTAATATACTATTCGTGTTTAAGAATCACTTGAAAAGTGTAGATGCCTTTGTATTGTTAATGTTTAGCCATTGTAACTTTTTATTCATCTGCAAGAAGTAAAATGCGCTTGGGTAACGTGTGGATGTATATTCGACTTTTAAACTCTAGTGGTGGTTGAAAACATGTACAAACAGATAGCTTCTCACTATCAGGCTTAATTATATTCTTGTTGTTACTTAAATTAGTAGTCAATAGCTCTAATAACTTACCGGGACAATTTGATGCAGTGAATCCACGCACGAGTCAAAATCAAGGTAAATTTTTGGTTTAACCTTAAAAATGCATTTGTCATAAAAATTGGAGTTTTGTAACTTTGAAATTACTAAACTATTAAAAATAGAACGTTTATTTATACAAAAAAAATTTTATTATGCGTTTATTATCATTATGCTTAATTGTAATGTTAAAAAAAATTAATACACATATAATAATTTTTACAAATGTCTCAATAATTGTAATAAGTCTAACACGTGTCATTGTGTATAGACCATATTGATCAAATAAAACATTTTTTCTTTATTTGGAAATAGAAAAACATATGATACAAATCTTACGCTTACTTTTATTCTTACCACATATACTTCAATCAATGCCATGAAACTCAACTTCAATGGGACGTGAGTCCACCATAACCTCTGTTCAACACATACGATTAATCATGATAGAAGGTCTTATTTGTGATAATTATATAGCATCGTAGTGCTTACATTGAATACATGATAATTCGCGTAATACTACGTAATGCTACGTAATGCTACGTAACTACGCGTAATGCCGAAACAGTTAGTGCAAAGTACATGGTGAAGGTGTTCATATCCCAAGTGAATACCCAATTCACTAAATCTCTAGTTCTAGTACATAAAATTTTGTAGAAGTCCCTAAACTAAAGTGTGAATTTGTTTTGCAGTAGTGCATCATTCCTGAAAATGTCTAGAAGTGATATGCAGAATTTCAGCAACGAAGACGGAGCTGGTGGATCTTCCTCGAAGCATCCCTATAGTTGTGCTTTTTGCGAAACGGCTTTTACTAGTTTCAACGACCTCATTGTCCACACACGTATTCATACTGGTAAGATGCTTTATAAATGCACTGTTTGCTTACTAAACTTTAGAACAAAAACTCATTTTACAGGACAAATGCACACTCACTCCGACAAGACACTTTACCACTGTAACGAGTGTTCACGAGCCTTCAGCAAAAAATGTAATCTTAAAGAGCACATGCGCACTCACTCCGGTGAGAGACCTTACCGCTGCAACGTGTGCTCGCGAGCCTTTAAAGGAATAAAATGTCTTAGAAGACATATGCGCAATCACTGTGGCAGGAGACTTTATCGCTGCACCATGTTCGTGAACCATCAGTTTGAACATTAATATCTTTTAAAACCCAAGTACACGCAACACTACCATCGGTGCTATGGGTGTTTACAAACTTTTGTGCAAATAAATCATGTTATGAATCACGTGTGCAACCCACATTTATTTCACTGCGATGTTTGACAAAAATATTTCGCTATTTCTTGTTATCTGAAGATGCACAATGTCTATATTTATAATACGTTTTCAATTCAAGATGTGTCGCTATTACAGCATTACAACGAAAAATTGATACAATAATTCAGTACGTTATAATTGAAATAAACATATTTTGAAGTTGGATAAAGAATTACAATTAAGTGGACAAAAAAATTTTACTTTGATGCTGGGCATGTATCTTAATTTTATAGACGAACATTTTCTTGTCATAAGAACGGCGTTTTCAGGATATACAGTACACTAATCAAGAATTTCACAGGAGTATTTTCATGTTAATGTTTTTAAAATAAATATTTCATGAAATTTCACTCTTCAAAATTTTACCATACATTGAAGTAATGTTATTTACCATCGATATGTAAGGGTAAGGTCCTGTAAAATATATAGTATGGAGATCTTCATATTTTTATGTAGGTTTTATTATAATAGCATAAATAGCATTTTTTTTCCTTTTAATTTGAAAAACTAAGTTTCGTACTTTTTGTTTGTTCCCAGTTTTTCTTTATTTTCTTTATTTTTGTTACAAAAATGTCTAACAAAAAAAAATATCGTGCTCTTGAATTAGTAATTGCATTTGATTCAACTTTTTTTTACAAGAATAGCAATACAAACCCATGTCATTTAGTTATGTACTTAAATTAATTAGGTATTACTGCATCTATTTACTAGAAACGGTTTCAATTGAATTCAATCCGTCACTTCTGGTTTGAAAAATAGATGTTCTTGTCAGTACTCTGAATTATAAAAAGGATTTTTAATATGAAAGTAAAAAAATTTACAGCTAGGTACTTCTAAAGTGATCTGTGCCTTTCTATGAGTAAATCAGAATTGAATAAGAAATATTTTTTAACTTTCTTACAATGCCGTAAAACTTGGCTTTTTATGCAACCTATGTTTGTTATTTATATCTATGTATTAAGAAAATATTGATAATTTTCTATTTTAAGAAAACAAAAATTCATTATAAGCCATTGTTCTCTGAGTACCGTTTTTAGTATTCGATTTAGAATCATTACTTTTTTTATTTAAAACTATTTTAAACTGTGTGTATTAATAGAAGTAAGCAAGCCCAAGTGTTAAGATTATATAAAAAAAAGAATGAATTATAGACTTTTCGAGCACAATTAAGTTAAGCTCGTGATATTGTAAGTTGTTCGTTTTGCTTAACCTTCTATTTTTTACAGACTCAAACGTTTACTGCAATTTTTTTAGATCAAAATTATTTTAACGTTGTAGATATGATGCGATATCCACCACCAGATACAAAATTAACTATTCGCTACAGCAAGTAAAAATTAAAAGTTCTAGAACATTTTCTCTCCTGTCTGAAAGATATAGAAAATCGTATAAAACCCACGACTAGGACTTAAGAAGCTTCAGATCGTCCGTTTGCCGTCCGAAAGAAAACTGAGCACTTGGACGATCTAATAAATTCTTTGCTTTTCTAAACTTAGATCGTAATAAGATATCAAGCTTCTCAATAAGTGCGTTAAAAAAACATTCTAAGACATGGCACATACTTTTTGGAACGCGGTCATGTAACCTTTCGTTGACTATTTATAAATAATGGTAATAGACAATAAAAAAAACAAAAAAAATTTCAAATCCTTACGTCTGCAAATTTGTAAGTCGTACTGACATTTAAAAATTACTTTAAAAGTAGATTACTCGACCTAACTAGTTTTATTTTATATATATATTAGTTACTATTTTTTAAAAGAATTTTTAATCATTAATGTTGGAAATCGTTTTTGTTATCATGTCACTTTTTCAACAGTTACCTACTATTATTCATTTACTCAAATTATTTTTTTCAGGATAACAAACTGTTAGCCTCCATTAAACCAGCGTCGTCTTACACATCACCGAAAATCGCACTCACAACAAACAGCTATTAAAATACTATCTAGAATATCACACCAATTATCAACTATAGATAATACACATTATTTTTTGACAAATATCGTTGAGATACTAAAATTTTAGGTGTGTAGCAGTTAACAGTATAACTTTTCATTTGCCGCTGGAAAGAATAATCGAGAGAACAATGGGTATGTTGTGTATGTGCTTGAGTAAGTTTTCCAAATTCAGACCACATCTATTCAACCAATAGTTATAAATAATAGAAATTTGGTGGAAAAACTCGATGCTGCAAGAAATTTCACGCAAGTCATAAATATTTGGATAACGAAAGGTCAGTTTTGGGTCAAGTTGAGAATTTTTTGTTAATTTTAACAACAATTCAATTTCTTTTTTAATAGTACATTACGCACCTAGTGAGCGAGGTTAAGAATGTCGCAGATTTCACATGAATAAACGTTTGATGTGAAATCTAGGGCATTTCTTAACCTCCGAACGTGGTGCGTATCCGATTTTACGTCTCCTAGTGCTCGGTAAGTAAGAAATCCCGTAATTTTTACTTACGGAGCACCAGTGATGTAATAATAAATTCTTTTCAAGTCATAACTCATACGTCACATAGATTTTTTTCAATCAAAGTCATCGTACTTGAATCACGATATTTATTTAAAATATTTGTTAGTGAAGCAAAACATATGACTGAGTTTTTTGTATAAATTTCTCAATAGCTGTAATAACTCTGATACTGGGGATAATAAGAATAAAAATTCCCTTGCCACTTAAAAATCAGATCTAATTAAAATACCTAAAATAAAGTCAATACGTGTAATTAGAAAGGATTAACTAATAAAATAACCATGATTCATTGGTTTCTTTGCTGATGTCAGTATTTTTAGTACGTCATTACAAATTATCGACGCCACCTATACCACTAGATTCAAAGATATTCATTAAGCTGGACAAATTAACCTACGTACTTGCTATATGCTTATAGTCGTTGCTGTATAAACTACACGTAATCTAGTTTATTAAGAATTGTAAGTTGACAGGCGTATAAATGACAGGAAACGTAAAAAATAGAAGATAGTTTACAGTTTTTTTATTGATAAGATTTAAAAGTTCATAATTGAATATGTGACAGTAAGAAAAAAAATCCGCTCTAGTACATTGGGCTGCATTACTAGATACGAAATTGTTCTTACTGACATTAGTAGCGTTACCTTTACGTCACAATAAATATTACTTTTGTTATTGACGTAAGAGATCACTATAGTAAACTCTGTTATCGTAATTTTCATGATTTTCATTCAATTTTACAATCATCGAACACTCGTATTTTTGATGAATAAGATCGAAAATACTATGTCTAAATATTTTAATAGTGACATTACGTAAGTCTACCACAACATTTATTTAAAGTTCATTATTGTAACACTGTCCAGTATTGGCCTTGTCTATAAGATTGATAGTAGGAAATTGTAGTGCTAATCCAAAAGAATTGATTATACACTTGGAGTAAGTACTCCAATTATATAATTACTCTACCTAATAGAAAAAAATATTTAAACAGTTTTTAATTTTCAACAAAGTACATAAAATTTTTTAGAAATGAAAGATTTAATTAAAAATTTGTTTTCAGTTGTATTTTGTCGGCGACAATGTTCAGAAGTGGTATACAGGATTTTAGCAACGAAGACGGAGCTGGTGGATCTTCCTCGAATAATCTCAATGGCTGCACTGTTTGTAAAAGAACTTTTACTAATTCCAACGAGATTATTCACCATACATGTTTACCGACTGGTAAGATGCTTTAAAAATGCACTGTTTTGCTTTCTAAACTTGAGAAAAAATATCATTTTACAGGACGTATGCAGATTCACTCCGGCGAAAGACCTTACTCTTGTAATGAATGTCCACGAGCCTACAAAAATAAATATAATCTTACATGTCATATGCAAACTCACTATGGTGAGAGACCTTATCAATGCAACATGTGCTTCAAAACCTTTCAATACAAATGTCATCTCAGATCTCACATGCGGACTCACTCCGGAGAAAGACCTTACCGCTGCAACGTGTGTTCACAAGCCTTCAGAAAACAAAGGTATCTTACAGTTCATATGCATACTCACTCCAGCGAAAAACCTTATCACTGCAACGAGTGTTCAATGACCTTTAAACACAAGGCCAATCTTACAACTCACATGCGGACTCACTCCGGAGAAAGACCTTACCGCTGCAACGTGTGTTCACGAGCCTTTAGTCAAAGATCTGATCTCACAGCTCATATGTGCACTCACTCTGGCGAAAAACCTTACCGATGCAACGTGTGCTTCCAAACCTACCGTACAAGTAGTTATCTCTCCAAACATAAGAAAATTCCACACACACATCGCTGCAACGTGTGTTTACAATCTTTTGTACAGATGAATCATCTTGAAAGTCACATGCGCAACCCGCATCTCTTTTACTGCGATGTTTGCCAAAAATATTTTGCTACTTCTTCTTGTCTTAAGATGCATAATCTGTACATCCATAATAACTTATAAGTAGGGAATACCCTGCTATTAGCAAATTAGGCCACAACAATGTAGTACATCGGCTTTTGACAAATATTTTTTATGATTTAATGTATAATCCATTGGATTGTTTATAATTGATACAACAATATTTATGTAGCAAAATATTTTTTAACTGTCTGTTTGAATTTACATGCACGGAAGTTGGTTCGTTATAAGTAACATCTCAAATTCTGTTAATTTTATAAGGTTTGCAGCCACAACTTGCATATTTTTTTTTTGTTTAGCCTCTTACGAGCCGCAAAGAAAATTTTTTTTGTACATAATTTTTTCTAAATTTTTGTACTATTGTTATCTCATAGTCGATTAAAAATTTTGTTTGTTGCTAATAAAAAATCATACTATTTTGTCTGTCATTTCCAGTTATATTCATTTTCATGTTTATAATTGGGTTACTTAAATAATTTTTATGTCATTTTTTTTTTAAGATTGAAGTTGTTTTTAAAGAATAACTGGGCTTTGATAACGCATGAGACGATGTAAAATCTAGTGATGTTTATGACTGACTGATTATGATTTTATTTATTATTTTATTTTTCATTTGCCGCTAGAAAGAATAATGTAGAGAACAATGGGTATGTTGTGTATGTGATTGAGTAAGTTTTTCAAATTCAGACCACACCTCTTCAACAAATAGTTATAAACAATAGAAATTTGGTGAAAAAACTCGATGCTGCAAGGAATTTCACGCAAGTTGTAAATATTTGGATAACGAAAGGTCAGTTTTGAGTCAAGTTGAGAATTTTTTTTTAATTTCAACAATAATTCAATGTCTTTTTAATAATAAATTCTTTTCAAGTCATTACCCATACTTTATACAAATTTTTTTCTATTAAACTCATCGTGTTTCAATCACGATGCCTACTTAGAACATTAGTTAGTGAAGCGAAACCTTTAGCTTAATTTTTTATATTAATATCTCTATAACTGTCTTAACTCTATACTAAGGATGATAAGGAAAAAAAAATTCATTCTACCTTAAAAATCAAATCTACTTAAAATACCTAAAATAAAGTCAATACATGTAATTAGAAAGAATTGACTAATAAAATAACCACGATTCATTGGTTTCTTTGCTGATGTCAGTATTTTTAGTACGTCATTACAAATTATCGACGCCACCTATACCACTAGATTCAAAGAGATTCATTAAGCTGGACAAATTAACCTACGTACTTGCTATATGCTTATAGTCGTTGCTGTATAGATTACACGTAATCTAGTTTATTAAGAATTGTAAGTTGACAGGCGTATAAATAACGGAAAACGTAAGGAATAGGAAATATTTTATAGCTTTTTTGTTGAAAAGATACAAAAGTCGACAACTGAATGTGTGAATGTAAGAAAATAAATTAATAAGCGAGTAATATGACTACGATAACACATTAAAATAATCCGGAAGGACATAATTTACAGTATGTTTCGTTTCGGCACCAGCTCTTGTTCATGTGGCTCCGTTACGACGAAATGAATCTTACTGACATTAGTAGCGATACCTTTACGTCACAACAAATACTACTTTTGTAATCCACGTCAGGGATAATTGTTTTAAACAGTGTTATCATAATTTTTATAACTTGTATCCATTTTCACAATACAAAACATCCAATATTTTCGACAGTTTTTCATTTTACAACAAAGTACATTGAATTTCGTAAAATCTAAGGATTTTATTGTAAATTTGTTTAGTTGTAATTTTTCGGCAACAATGTTCAGAAGTGGTACACAGGATTTTAGTAACGAAGACGGAGCTGGTGGATCTTCCTCGACTAATTTCAGTTGCTGCACTGTTTGTAACAGAACTTTTACTAATTCCAACGAGATTATTCACCATACATGTTTACCGACTGGTAAGATGCTTTAAAAATGCACTGTTTTGCTTTCTAAACTTGAGAAAAAATATCATT